CACAGACTTTCCCACTTAATTGTATATTTCCTAAGCGGTTTAAATCGCAAAACATTGTTAACTATGTTGTTACGATATCATAACAACAGAGGTATTTTCACAGGATTGCCATATCTTGAGTCTGTCTTGTCCCATCTTTACACTTTTATGTCTTTGTTTGTAGTTCATATAGAGTACTCAAATTTCGTTTATTAAGAAACTATTAAAATTTAGGGTTTCACATGGTCGGCCCCGCACGGCTATAGCCTTTGCTTTCTTGTTTTAAATATAACTCTTCTCGAACTGATATAATTCACTCTATATCAATGTTATTTTTTATAAAAGATTAAAATGTCTTAATGTCAAATTTAGTGAAATTCGATTCAGAATTGGATATGCTCCCACTATATCAGTTCCGTCGGAAACCAAATTATAACTGCTCTAAAGCCATATGTTGAGAGGTGGTACATTATGGCAGCTCTACTAAATATGCATAGTGGTGTTGGGTATCATATTGTCGACCCCGCAACCTTTTCCTTACAGTTTTTTAATGAAGATGAAAAGAAGACGAAACAAAAGCTTATATTTTGATGCGAAATATTAAAAAAAACAAAACTTGAACTTTGACCTTGAATTCCTTTGTAACTGCCAAATTACTTCGCATTATTTTTAGATCAGCGGAAAGCTAATTGTGTTTCCTGTCAAATAAAGAAAAAATTATGGAAATATCTCTATCCGTTCAAAAGTTATAGCAAAAAATTATTCAGAATCTCTGCCTTTCCTCATTAACGTGAATACCTATGACGTCATCCGACTTTGTGATTTATGCTCATGCCCGTGATGGCTAGCCCAATGAAGACACAGCCCAACACAATGCGATCGCAATTTTGCGATGAAGTAAAAATAAGCAATAGGTAGTAAGATAGAATTGGATTGTGCATGGTGCTCGCACTCACAGGCTTGATGGTTGGCGAAAATTAAAAAAATGGCAATATATAGTGGAAAACGTAGTGCGACGGTTTTGGCTGAACTGGCTGTGCTTGGGCTAGCAGGTTGGCGAAAATTAAAAATTAGCAATATATAGAAATAATCTTGGTGTCTCGATTCTGACTGAACTTTCGCCCTCGCATGCTGGCTGGACGTATTGTTGAAAATAAAAAATAAGCAACATATAGTCATAAGCGATTTGCGATTGCTTGGCCTGAACTGTGTAGCAGGTGCTCAGAAAAGCATTCATACAGAAAGATATTTCCATTGCCATTCGTTTGCTTGCTTACCCAAGAATATGCCGGTCATTATAATTATCGTTGGTACGGAAAACGGTAGAGAGAAGTGTAGGGAGGTAGACGGCAATGTAGTGACTCTGAAATTGGAGGGTGGAGAGAGCGCACCCATGAATGTGAATGTGAACAGCATGGAGGTTGATGATAATGAGTTGATGTGTATGGATGTCGATGAGGAGAGAGACTCATACAATTACGGTATAGAAATAGAGGCAATGGAAGTTGATGGTGTGGAGAATACATCCATGAATGTAAACAGAGAAAGCATGGAAGTTGATGACAATGAATGGATGTGTATGGATGTCAACGGTGAGAGAGACTCATACACCTACCGTAGAGATATAGAGTCTATGGAAGTGGACTTTGAAAAAGCTGAACATATGGATGTGGATAGCGAAAGCATTGATGTGAATGGATGGCAACCAATGCATATGCAATAGTTCTCATGCAAAGACATGACAGATTTGAGAGAAACACTCGCTCTATCGATTTTCACCGTTCGTAATATTAAATTTATAATTTTTGCAATTAACTCTCAAATCCGGCACTTGTCTGTGAGAGCTAATGTACATGTATTGGTTGCTGATAGCGACGATACGACTGATGTTTGTTATTTCAACGGAATGCGTTAGCAAACAACAACAACGTATAGCAATGTAATAAACGTTTTGTATGAATGCTTTTCTGCACGCCTGTTACACAGTTCAGGTCAAGCAGTCGCTTTAGCCTTATTGCCTATCTATATATTGTTTTCTTTATTTATACCCTCCGCCATACAATAGAGGGTATATTTATAACCTACACCACATAGTGGTAAGGGTAATGTCTTTGTTCATTTGTATGTAACCTGGAGAAGGAAGCGAGATAGACCCATAGTTACTCTTGCGAATCTTCATAGAATCACTTTCTGAGCCGATTGTATTCTTGCGAGCAAAATGCAGGTCGCATTTATTATCCGATTGAGACGAAATTTTCCAAACAACAAAAATTTCCAAAAACTGGTGAGAATCGGTTCAAATTTAGTTATCGTTCCCATATATATCTTCAGACAATTTCGGGTTAATTGTGTACTAAATGGCCAATATCAGTGCAAATGACCTGAAAAAAATGCAACAAAGTCAAACACTATAATTTTTACATTTTTTTCAAATTTTAAGTTTTGATTCGTTCGAATTGGTCACCTTTGGCATGAATTATGGCCTTCAAACGGCAAATGAAACCGTCACACGCTGCCCGAATGTTGTTCTGCGGTATTTTGTCCCATTCTCGGCGAAGCGCTAACTTGAGGTGATCGACACTTTTGTATTTTTTAGTGCCAACCTTGCTTTTCAAACTACTCCAGACACAATAGTCCAACGGATTGGTATCCGGAGATTTTGGTGGTGGTTAGTAACCATTCTTGGGTGGCGCATGCTGAGTGCGAATCTTGTTGGAATGTCCAAGGTCTGCGCCCAAAATGTTTGGGTGCCCAAGGTTTTAATAGACCCTCCAGAATATTTTCGCGATAATATTCGTCATTTATTCTGATGCCACGGTCGATTAATACGAGCGGAGAGCGATCATCGCATTTTATGGCGGCTCACACCATCAACATGGTCGGCGCTTGAGTTCTGGTGGCCAACCGAAGGTGCACATTTTCAGCTGACCTTTTTGGCAAGTAAACACGATCATTTTGTTTGTTTACAAACTGCTGGACAACGAATGTTTCCTCAATGGCTTTACAAATGGCGTACCAAAGGTAACCAATTCGAACAAATCTAAACTTATTCTAAAATTTGATGTTATTTCCGACATTTTTTGCTTTCATTCAAAAAAAAAAAAAGGAAAAGAAAAAAAATGTAAAAATTATGGTGTTTGACTTTGTTGCAGTTTTTTTATCTCACCCTTTATATCGGCACCTATGTAACGGTCAGAATTGACTTTTACATCTATTTGTGATTTCGCCGGGATTAAAAATATTCAGTTTAATTGAAAATTTGACTTTTATTTAACACATATGTTATGGTATTTTTCAATCACTAAATATTACCCGTTACTATCCAAACTGGAAGGCTTCTGCACAACCCTAAGCCCTAGCCCCATGCTAACTTTCGCGTCGATTGGTCTATAATTGCGACCTGTAGAGAGACTGCAAAATCAAGAAAATTTTCAGTTGTTGTCCATTTTAACCCATAAATATCATGCGATCATCTCCAATAGATCAAAGCTATAGGCGCCATGTAGAGTGATTACAAATAAACATGGACAGACGAACGGATATACATAGCTAGATCGACTTACCTCTGCGAGATAGGAAGATCCATATATTTTCCTATGTGGGAAAGCAATATCTCGTGATGTTACATAATTTTTGGCAATCAAATCTTGTAATACCCCCAACACATAGTGTTGTAGGATATAAATAGCATAAAATATATGGTTAATTTCATATTTTCATAGAACAAGAATCCAGTTCCAACTCTTATTTTTACCATTCGTTTAAATTCCGACACATAAATTGGAGAATATTCTCAAAAAGTATACATGTTGACATCATAAAACAAGTAAAAAAGCTGTAAGTTCGGCCGGGCCGAACTTTGAATACCCTCCACCATTTGGAACCAATTTGGCAATTCTCAACAACAATAAAATCCGTTAAAAATTCTGCTAAAAATCTTAAAAATACCGAATGTAGCTATTATATTATGGTCTATACGACGACATGAACCTGCGTAGGTAACATTTGTCATAAGCCATTACAATATTCAAATGCGAAACTTAAAAAAAATCAGTTATAATGTCCATAAAATCATTAAAATACCGAATGTCGGGAGGTACCGTTATATGGAGGCTCTACGAAAACGTGGACCTGCAGAGACAATTTTCTGTCTTAGACTGTAGTATCCATTACGAACTTCATATACCAAATTTGAAACTATTCCGATGAATAAATTCGCTAAAATCAGCAAAATATCGAATGTTGGGAGGTACCGTTATATGGGGGCTATACCAAAACGTGGACCTACGTGGACCCATTTTCAATACCAAAAGTCCTGCAGACATAACATATATTTGAGCAAAATTTTATCAATCTACTTAAATTCGTTCGGAAGCTAGAGTGATTTCCACAGACAAACGGACATAGAAATTTATGCTGATCAAGAATATATAAACCTTGTGGGGTCTAAAATGTGTATTTCGGGGTGTTACAAACGCAATGACAAACTTAATATACCCTCCATACTATGGTGAGGGTATAAAAAGAAATTGTCATTAACAATTTCTTTTCTAGAAAAGCAGTGTTGTTTATAAACATCAAAATCCTTGCATTACGGTGCGAGTGAAGAATATTTTCTGATAATGCAAACGGAATGCAGACAAACATACGCTCCTAAATTTGTCATGGCAACATTCTAATTAAATGATAATTGAAACCAATAATTTCAAGACAAATTCAAATATTCAAGTATAAGATAAAGAATTCCGAGCTTTATCCAACTGGTACTGTTCCGAATGCTGTCCGACATATCTTGGCTCTGTGGATCTACTTCTCGTTTGTTTTGGGATTTGGCGCATCCAACCAAACAAAACAAAACAAAAAAGATAAAAGCTTGCCGGCTTGGTTTTGTTAACTTGATATTCTTATACTCTTTCTCTGAGTATTATTCTACCTCTGAGGTTGACTCACCCGTTCTCTCTTTCTCTGTGCGGCCAATTAAAGTTTATCTTGTGCATCGTGTTGTAGGCTTTTGGCAATTTTATTTCCGACCTTCTTGCCAATAAAACTTCAGTCCAGGCGCTCAGTTCAATTTAAAGCAGGCCAGTGGAGAAAAGTACAAAAACAAAAGCGCGCAAAATTTCGCTTAGCATGGATCGTTCATTGTTTGCCATAATTATTGCCATAATCAGTTGTATTGCTTACATAGCTGTTGGTGGCCTAACAATTGGTGATTTGCTGTTTTTAATAGAACATCAAAAGGAAGTCAACAACTATGGTAATAAAGGATGAATTCGATTTAGAAAAGTGCATATATTTAATACTCCTTGGGTGTGTGTGTGTGTTTGTAGGTACAGTTTTGGCTCTTATGTGTGTCTCATTGGTCTTTTATTTGGCCATGTTCCTTATATCGCTGATAATGCTTGTGGGTGTGAAAAAGGTAAGATTTTGCAATACTTTCATTTTTTTTTTTCAATTTATTTCTAAAGTTGAAAATGTACCCTTTACAGAGAAGTCCTGAACTTATCGGTCCTTGGGTTGTTTTGGGTGCAATTGGCATAATTTGCAGTATTTTAAATTTCTTTGTAACCGGCATAAGACAACCCACAATGGAACTCATGGCCAGTTTAATTTATATAGGTGAGGTCCATTGTTTTCTGAATATTTTCGCCTTACTAAAGACAAATTGTTTATTTTCAATATCTAGCTTTATCCTGTTTAGTTTGGTATCCCATTTACAAGTTATGGCACGATATGCGCAATGGCAGTTTTCCACTCAGTCGTGAACAACAGGAATACCAGCCACCACCAGGTTATTATGCCCCGCCACCAGTTTCACCAACAACTGAGGAAAATCAAAATGATCGTGATGTGGAGGCCCCACAAAAGGAATAAAGTCATTTATATTACGAACTAACAAATAAATAAGTGATAAAATAAATTTAGAGAATATTTTTCGGGGATTACCAGAGAGAAATAATATTTGTGTTAGACCATGTCAGAGCTGTAATTGTTAAGTTATAGAGAAGATCTGATTCTTAAAGAACATTTTGTAAAGAGCTGCCAAAGTTAAAATTGTAGTGCCAGTTAGAGCTATAATCATAAAACTGTCCAACACAAAAAAAAAAAAAAAACAAGTAAGCAAAGGCTACAGCCGAGCGGGCCCGACCGTTGAATACCCTACAACACTATAATAAACGATACAGTTTATATAGGCGAGTTACTCGAAAGAATTCCACAAGATATTGTGACAAATAATAAAAGAAAACCATCAGGTTTCGTTCACTATTTTTCGAATAATTGCAACTTAAACTAATTTGTTCATTTGCAATTTATTGGTAGATGTTGCGTAAATGGTCTTCCTAGATCTGGAACCAATATTTCCCAAAGACCTATAATCTCTCAGAAATGACAAAAGATTAACATTTATTATTGGTTTTTGACTGAAACGCATCTATATGAGATACAGACATTTGACTATATTCTTCAACGAAATCAGCGTTAACGAAATAGTCGGAAGTGCGTCTTTCCTGTATTCGTGACTTCTCCAAAAAGTCACTGGAATGAACAATTTCGTATTTTGTCTACAAAAGTTGGCAAACTATTTCTCACATTGAATATTTTTGGATGGCGATAATTACGACCTGCTGACAATTTTGCAGTTTTTTGGTGCATTTCAACCCCTAAATATATGGCGATCATCCCCAAAAAGAGTAGGCTTCTATTCTGACCCTCATCTTATCCCCATGCAAAATTTCGTAAGGATCGGGTCATAAATGCGATCTGTATATGATATCCTGATATTCTAACTACTTAGTTTTGTTAGCTGTAGAAATATTACCAAATGTTTAATTCAAAATTAAATTATGCCAAAAATATGACAAAATTGAAAAAATATTAGAAAATGTTACAAAACCAATATTTTCATCTTTAGAGAGATATTTTTATGCGATTTTTTTTAGCATTTTTTTCCTTCCTGCCAAGAGGCCATTCTGAATAAATGAGAACTGTCGAAATCAGTTCAGCCGTTCTCGACATATAAAAGATCTTTTAAGCATATCTTCTTTGATAGACATATATATCGCACATATATCCGATTTGTTGGATGTTAACATCAATGTAAAGGTCAGAAGTAACCTTTGTGATTTCGCCGGGATTTAAAATATCCGCGGTTTAATGAAAAATTTTGAATTTTTTCAACACAAAATATATGATATATTTTACCCGCTAAATATTATCCGATGACCACCCAAATTGGTAGGCTTCTTCCCCGCCCTAAACCCGTCGGTTGGTTTGTATTTGGTCTAAAATTGCGACCTGTATAGCTACTGCAAAATTCGACATTTTTCAGTATTTGGTCCATTTCAACCCCTAAACATTTGGCGATCATCTCCAAAAGAAATAGGCTTCTATTCTGACCCTAACCCCACCTTCGTGCAAAATTTCGTTAGGATCGAACCATAGCGTGATTACAAATTACCATGGACATACGGACGGACATACATAGCTAGATCGACTCAGCTCGGCGAGATAGGAAGATCCATATATACTTTCCTATATGGGAAACCAATATTTCGAGGTGTTACATAAATTCTGGCCCAATCAAACTTATAATACCCCCAACACACAGTGTTGTAGGGTATAAAATTAATTAAAAAATTCAGTACATTCTGAAAGTAGAGCTAACATTACGTTATTAAAAGTGTTGCACATAATCATCAATGGAATTGGTGGAAGAATGCAGTTTAAGTTTTAAAATACTATAAAGTGGGTGGAACCGTTATAAACTTTAAGGATTTTTATCGATCTGAAGTCTTAAATACCGAATTTTAAACGTAGTGAAACAAGTAAAAAAGCTGCTATGTTCGGTCGGCCCAAACTTTTTATAACCTCCACCATTTGGAAGAAACTTGAAATTTTTCAAAAAGCATCCGGAAAATACCACTTAAGTGAAAACTGTTATATGGAGACTATACAAAGACCTGAACCTGCGCACACAATTTTCCGTCATATTCTGTAGTGTCCATTATGAACTTCAAAGACCAAATTTGAAACAATTGCGGTGAAAATGTCGCTAAAATCGTAAAAATACCGAATATGGGGAGGTACCGTTATATATAATCACAAGAATGTGACTTCTCACAATTATGGTGATGCTGATAGCCAAGATATCGGATATATAGCAAAATGGGTACAATACACATGTAAAAGGAATAGGTCCTAGTCATTCCGCTTATAAGTCAAGAACCGCTGGACTGATTTTCACAATTCTCATCACCTCGGAATGGTCTCTTGTCAGAAAAGGATGCAATCTAAGAAATTCGCGTAAAATATGACAATTAAAGGGTAAATATTTTTGTTACATTTTTTAATTTTTTCATATTTTATGACTCATGCAATTTTTATACCCTACAACACTATGTGTTGGGGGTATTATAAGTTTGATTGGGCCAGAATTTATGTAACATCTCGAAATATCGGTTTCCCATATTGGAAAGTATATATAGATCTTCCTAGCTCGCCGAGCTGAGTCGATCTAGCCATGTATGTCCGTCCGTTCGTCTGTCCGTCTGTTCATGTTAATTTGTAATCACGCTACAGGTCGCAATTATGGCCCGATCCTTACGAAATTTTGCACGAAGGTGGGGTTAGAGTCAGAATAGAAGCCTATTTTTTGGAGATGATCGCCAAATGTTTAGGGGTTGAAATGGACCAAATACTGAAAAAATGTCGGATTTTGCTGTAGCTATACAGGAATTTCGCATGTACCTAGAGTTTAAGGCGTGGAAGAAGCCTACCAATTTGGGTGGTCATCGGATAATATTTAGCGGGTAAAATAGACCATATCTTTTGTGTTGAAAAAATTCAAAATTTTTCATTAAACCGTGAATTTTTTAAATCCCGGCGAAATCACAAAGTCGCGACAAGGTTACTTCTGACCTTTACATTGATGTTAACATCCAACAAATCGGATATATAGCAAAATATGTGCGATAAACATATATTATCAAAGAAGATATGCTTAAAAAATCTCTTATGTCGAGAACGGCTGAACTGATTTCGACAGTTCTCATTAATTCGCAATGGCCTCTTGATAGGAAAGAAAAAACGTCTAAAAAATCGCATAAAACATATCTCTCTATAGATGAAAATATTGGTTTTGTAACATTTTCTCATATTTTTTCAATTTTGTCATATTTTTGGCATATTTTCATTTTGAATTAAACATTTGGTAATATTTCTACAGCTAACAAAACTAAGTAGCTACAGCTAACAAAACTAAGTAGTCAGGATATCATATACAGATCGCATTTATGGCCCGATCCTTACGAAATTTTGCATGGGGATGAGATGAGGGTCAGAATAAATGCCTACTCTTTTTGGGGATGATCGCTATATATTTAGGGGTTGAAATGGAGAAACTGCAAAATTGTCAGCAGGTCGTAATTATCGCCCGATCCTCATGCACATTTGAATGGGGGTTATCGCACATTGCAAAAGCCAAGCAGTTTCGGATGGCCATCCAAAAATATTCAATGTGTGAAATAGTTTGCCAACTTTTGTAGACAAAATACGAAAATGTCCTTTCCAGTGACTTTTTGGAGAATTCACAAATACAGGAAAGACGCACTGCTGACTATTTCGTTAACGCTGACTTCGTTGAAGAATATAGTCAAATGTCTGTATCTCATATAGATGCGTTTCAGTCAAAAACCCATAATAAATGTTAATATTTTGCCACTTCTTAGAGATTATAGGTCTTTGGGAAATATTGGTTCCAGATCTAGGAAAATCTACCAATAAATTGGAAATGAGCAAATTCGTTTAAGTTGCTATTTTTCGAAAATTAGAGAACGAAACATGATGGTTTTCTTTTATTATTTGTCACAATATCTTGTGGAGTTCTTTGGAGTATCTCGCCTATATAAACTGTTTGGTTTATTATAGGGTATCCAACGTTGTAGGGTATTCAACGGTCGGCCCCGCTCGACTGTAGCCTTTGCTTACTTGTTTAAACTTGGCTTACAATTTTCAATTGTGAATTTTCTAAAGTTTTTCTACACCCCGCAACATTGTGTGTTCAGGGTATTATATACAGGTTGAAATTATCGACCGATCCTCAAGACATTTTTCATGGGCGTAGGGTTTGAGTCAAAATTAAAGCATATTGTTTTTGAAGATGTACATGTAGGGGTTCAAATGGATCAAAAAAAAAATGTATATATATATTTTTTTTCTGATTTTGCAGTCGGTCTACAGGTCACAATTGACAACCAATCGACACGGAAATTTGCACTACATATATATATTTTTACTATAATTTACATACATCTGTCTTGGCTTTAATTGTAGACATTATCACAGTTTTAACGTGGATTTGAAGAGGATATTTTATAAGGATCTGTCAAAGTTTTATCGTGTAGGGCTACAGAACGTTACTCATTAAAATAACGGTGTAAGACACTAGGTCACATTGGACCAAATCCCTTTCAGGACATTTGGAGTCGATATAGGAGTATCCGTCCTTCTGTCTGCTAGTGCTAACAACAACTGTCGAAGGGAGTATGCGATTTGGACCATAATTTTTCCATTAATATTGTTATCGAACATAGATCGATGGGCAATATCGACCCACTCCTTCTGATATCTCCCCCACAAAAAGTCAAAGTCTCACAGAAAATAATTTTGTTCAAACTTTGGAAAACATATAATACATAAAAATAACAATAATCTCAACTCTTATAAAATGTGAAATATGAATCCAATTGTCTTTAAATTTCGCATATCTCAATATTTCTTAAAACTCTAGGTCTGGTAAGAAAATGGGATGAGCCGGACTACTTATTCTGGTACCTCCCTCACAAAGGGTCAACATTTTGAATAAGCATGAAGCTCATAAAACACTAAATGAGCATTCGTTGCCTTTTAAACTCGGCACAT